GGAAAGAACAGATAGTGTTTTGTTGGGTTTTTTTTAAGTTTATTTAAATAGCTAGTCCAGGTGAGGATCCTAAGTATTTGTCTTGTCACCCTTTGCCGCCGTAGCGGACAAATTCTGCATTCCCATCCATTACACAAATCCAGGGCTGCCAGACATGACCAAGAGCCTTTACTTTTCTTCTCTCACTTTTTTTCTGATGCTTATTCTCCGCTTCCTTGCACAGTCTTTGTTCTCCTGCCTTTCTTTGGTGTCTTTCAATGGCACTGCTGGCAACAGGAGGAGCTCTGGGCAGTGTGAATTTGTCATTATTTCATGGGAAACTGCGATGGGGGAGAACACACTGGGCACTTGTAATGCTGCTGACGTGCACTTACAGGCTGAGCAGAAGTACACAAGGAAATTCTCCTGCAAGGAGAGAGAGGCGTGAAAATACAGTTACTGGGGCTCGTTGCTGACATGCTGGTTACTGTTCAAAAGAGCTTCAAGTGGAGCCGTACGGGCAGTTCACTCCTTGTTTTCCTTTAAAGCTCGTATCAAGTTGGGGTAGTTTTCAGGAGGTTTTCTGCATTGGGCCATCTGTGGAAACGCTCTGAATGCAAACTCAGCTTGTAGGCAAATCCCTTTCTGTGGGCTGTGATCCTACATTATTGCTGCTGGTTTATGTTACTTAAAATGTGTCTGAAACCTAAAGGTGTGTGTCACTTTTGAGACATAAAGGTGAAGGCTCAGGTTATAGACAAAATTTTCTTAAACTATATACTATTGTCTTAACATTAAGACAGCGTGACCTTTTTTCAGTCTACTATTATGGAGTGTCTAAAACACTGTAAGTGAAACTTTGTTTGCAGAAATTGATTTTTATCTCTTTATTTTTCCCAGGTTTACAATGAGCCTTTGACAGCACTCTGAGTAGTTAATTTCACTCTTTGTCTTGTAAAGTAATATTTCTTCCCCTGTTGTTTGTATAAAGTCTCTCATGCACATCAGAATCGGGGAGAGGAAAAACAGGATTTTAAAAAGCCAGATGTTTTCAGGAGGAGGAATGCCACTTGGAATCTCTGTACTTACAATTATTAAAGTTAGACTTTGATTTTACTTCATCTTCTTAAATGTATAAACAAGATACTTGTGATGGTATGAAAAATAAACATAATCTAAATTGTATGAACTCCACTGCAAGACAATCAAGCGTGTTAAAACCCGTGCTAATTCCAGTAGGACTTTAAAGAAACCTGGAATGCACCTTGCACAGTTTTCTTCTCTGGCAACGTTTATCTTGGTATTTGTTTGTTTAGTTATTTGTTGTTTTTTTTAAAACTAGCACCAGTCTTTTTGCTTCCTTCAAGGCACTATATGAAAAATGCAGATTACTGTTAAAATCAGTAATATTGTGGCTTTTGCTATGATGATGTAGCATCTAGGGAATTTCTCACTTTCTCATTTTTTACATATGCAAAAAGGTCCCATGGAATTGTTTTTAAAGGTTACTGCATCTGCCCTGAAAACCAAGCCAAGCATCTCTTGTCTGTCTAAATTGTTTCAAAGTGGGTTTTGTATACAGCTAACATTTTTGGATGTTAGCATTGAGGTGAATAGTGTATATCCACAAAGGGGCAGTGTTTTGGGTAACTTAATTTAGAGTAAATAAAGGCTTTATTCTATCTTGGCAGTTGACCATTGAAGCATGTTCCTGTGCTTGGACTGTAAGTGTGTCTGAAGGTTGATGGCTGTATGGTAAAGAAAATCTGTGAAGTAAAACACTTTATAATGCACTGTCTGTGTATGATCAACTGTTTCTCCATGGAAAGCAGGTTCCTGTGTCCAGCCATTTCTTGTGTCACTGAAAAAAGAAGTCTGACTCATCTCGGTCACTTGAATCACCTCATTTAGTCAGTGATGTCAGTCACCTTAGTTACCAATAACACAGCAGATAATAGAATATAGGGAGTCAATAAAATATACAGTTAGAATATTATCTGTAGTAACAATCAGAATTTTCTTTTAAAAACTGAATTCAGTGCAAGTGTCCTGTGGACATACCTCAGTCATTTACTGACTCATCTAGTAATGAATTGGCTGTGCCACGGTGTGTGCATGTAGTCATTAATTCCTCTCCACTTCCTGGGCAAAATCAGTTTCCCAACAGTGCTGTTGTGTTTGTGCCATTAAACCTCTAACCTTAAAGCAGCCCTTTCTGGCACCAGGCAGTGAGGAATAGCACAGGTAGGCGTAAGTGTTGGATGAGTCTTTGCTCTCTTACAGGTAGACATACAAGGTGTTGTGTTGGTTTCATATTGATGGTCATTACAAGCCAGACACAAAGGAGAGATGATTCTGGCATACAGAGTAAACTTGCCTGTGTTCTTTGTATTGAAGGTTCTTCTCTGCAGAGGAGAAAAAGATGTACAAACCTGTTTAGGATTTATTTTTTTTTTTTAATGAAGTGGAACATTGTAGATTGAGAAAGGGAAATTAGGACAAGAAAATAGGTCATTTAAGTTTAGTGGCTAGAGCAGCTCTCAGCTGGGTCAGAAACTAGCTCGTCCAAAACCACAAAGACATAGCAAATATTAAGTTTAATAAATGTAAGTCGTTATGAATTACTACTGATGAAAAAATAGTTCATTAATCTTTGCTCTTGGAAAGACAGCTGCTGAATATATTGAGAAACTTCCTGACAAAAATCAAAATGACATAAAGTTCTTGGATTAAGCCTGGAAAGTTTAATCACTGTTAGAAAACTAGCTAGAAGAGAGAGTCTTTTCAAGCACAAGCAACTACAGGCAAACATGAAACCATAGTTGTGGATGTCTAGCCTTGCTTTTTAAGCCATTCTTTATAATTCCCACTGGATTAACCATGCAGTGGATGAAAATTGCATTTGACGGTAACAATAGCATGGCTACTTGTTAATTCAGTTTATGTCCATGTCTTTTGAATCACCCCCTGAATAGTGCTTGCTATGCAAAAGATACACTTGGTGAAGTTTGTTGCTCTAATGTTTATAGACAGGTGAGGGGGCAGT